CTAAGTCTCGCCGGGCGCAGTCACGCTTGCGGCGGGCGCGCTGGCCCTGGAGCCCTCTGGTTGTGCCACGCCGGGCGCGACCATGAGTGCGCCGGGCGCGTATGAGGATGTGAAGTTATATGCTGAATTTGCTGATAATATGGTTTTATGCTGATTAACATTGCCAATGTTGTGTGATGAAAGGTTGTGTTATGCTGTGTGATGCTAATGCTGAACCTTATTGTTTGAGTCGAGCTGAATGATATGCTGATAGTTGTTGAATTATGCTCTAATTGCTGAGCTGAGATGTAATTGATAAATATGTTGTGCTGACTAGGTGTAAATGCTAAAAAATGATGTTAAGCTGTAATAGATGTATATCCCTATGCTGAGCTGGGCTGTTATTGATGATTTTAAATGCTGATTTATAATATGGCTGTGCTCTAGAATGATAAGCTGAGTTGTGAGTAGTAAGCTGTGTTGAATACTACTTAGCTGTTTTGGTGTGCTGTTTATTGCTGAGCTGTATGCTGTGTTTAGCCACTATTGTGGTGCTGTTATAGCCGCTATGTCGGTGCTGTTAGCCACTATTGTGGTGTTGTTATAGCCGCTAAGTCGGGGCTGTTGTTGCCGCTTTGCGGTGCTGTTATCGCCACTTGAGTGGTGTTGTTATTGCTGCTAAGCAGTGCTGATATTGCCGCATTACGGTGCTGATATTGTTACGTGTTGTGAGTGGTATAAGCTGTACAGGTGTGCTGATAGTTGTAGCGGTTGTTTATCATATTGATATATATATATTTGTATGTTGATTTTAATTACACTAGCTTACCATTTGTTGTTTCCATGATGTTTGAACTGCAATGATCATACTATGTATGGGAGCAGAGCAGGAATAGGTGGGAGTCTTGTGGTGAGTCTTCAGCAGACCGGTGGAGCTGATCTCTTTTGTGATTCTTTTTGTTGTTGAGCTACTTGGGATAGTAGCATATGATTGTATATTTGGTACACTTTAACTCTGTTTCAGATCGGATCATGTATATGTATATTATAGACTCTATATGTATACAGTTGTTCTTTTCTGTACGGTGTTTCTAGTGTGCTGTGCTGTGTGTAGTGACCAGCCGGGTCGTTACAATCATGATAGAAAAATCAAATTAGATAAGGAGTTAAAATTTTTGTGATTTTTTATCTTACTTTTTAGATTCATTTTGATTCTTTATATGTTAAAATATTTATTTTGGTCTTTTATTTTTTATATTTGAATCAATTTTTCTTTTAAAACAATAATCTTTTTTATTTTTGTGAGATAATTTTGAATTAACTTTTGACTGATTCAAAATGTGAAATTTGTAACATTAGATTCACTTAAATGAAAACTATGAAATACAATTGATATTCAAATCCAAAAGGGGGTTAAATATAATGAAAATTGTGAAAATATATATCTCATAAGTAACTAAAAAATAATATGAAATTATGTCTTTTGAAATTTTTATTTTCACTATGTTTATAACACGTTTTTGTTTGAACTTCAACTACATTCAATAGTTTTCATATATGTAAATCTTATGAGATGAGTTTTAAGTCCTACATTAGTAAAGAAGGTTTTACAAGGATCAAATTGATCTAAATCTAGAAGATAAAGAATAAAAATAAATATTTTAAAAGATAAAAGATTAAAATGAATGTAAAAAAAAAAGATAAATGATTAAAAAATATAATTTAACCTAAATAATATTATAAAAAGTAGCACAATGAGACATTAATTTATTAATTATAGACAATTTTAATATAAATGTAAGTAATAAAAAATGAACAACTTTTAAAATATAATTTCTTTCCAAATAAATTTATTTATTATCTATTTAATAACAACAAACAACTCTTCATATATAATACACATAAATACATAATATTTCCTGTTTTATATAATATACTTGGTTTCTAAGAATCAATTCTAAAATTAAATATGATTTTTTTTTCTTTTATCATCAAATTTCTCCTTTCTTACTCTCACCATTTTTTTTAACTTATTTCTTTCATTTCTCTTTGTGAAATTTAAATCCCTCATAAATATTTGAATATTTTTCTCTATTAATGGTAGATTCATAGTAATGAGATATGGTATCTCAAAGAGACCTGCATGATTAAGACAAAATTTGTAAGTATTACTTTCTACTTATATTTTCTCTTTACCTAAAACTATTACTATAAAACCTATTTTATTTCTCCAACAATTCAATATTTTTTCTTTAGTTTTTGGGTTTGTGTTAACAATTTTTTTTGTTCATTTCCATTGGTAGATTTTTGTACTCTCCCATATGTATTATTCTTTGTGACAGAGGTAAATTTAAAGTTTATTTTTTGAAATCATTATTTTATTTCTATAAAATATGATTTTTATTATTTTTCTTTCATTTCATCTTTTTGAAATTTTCAAAATAGTATGTAATTTACTCATAGACTTTAGTTTAATTTGTCTTCTTTATTAGAAGTATTTGTTCTCTTTTCTTTAATAGTTAATTAAGTTTATTATCCGTGGATTATGGTGAAGACTCAAGTTGTAATGTAATATACACATTATCATTAATATATTATATAACATTTATATATTGAGTAATTATTATTATTATTATATATATATATATTAAAATCTTATATTAATCTTATTTTAATAATATTATATTATTATTGAATTAATTAAAAAGTTATTCGTACATCGTACATGTCACTGATTTAGTTAATTATTAATTAAAGTGATGTTTCTTTTTATAAACGTCTATGGTATTTATTTTTATATAGTTTTTTTTTCTTTGTTTATGTATTTTTAAATATTTATTTATTTATTTGTTACTGGTATAAAGCTGAAACCAGTCCATCAGTTAGCCGGTGAAGGAGTACTCATGGTCCCCACCGATTTAGATTCTTTCCCCATACCATTCCAAACACATTTTTAAAACGGACCTGCCAAATTGGCAATTTATTATCATTTTTTTATTATTTAACAATTCCACCTAACATCATGCTTATCATTGTTATTAATTCATTACTGTTTATAATGTGATTAAAATATCAAGAATTCAAGTGAAAATTAATTCGAATTCTTAAATAATATTTCTAAGGTTAAATTTTATAAATGGATTTGACTTCTCTAAAATAAATAGTGTATTTTAGAAGATAAAATATAATAATGATTATTAATTAAGAAATTAAAGACAAATATTATAAATAATTATAAATATTATTATAGTGAAGATGGAAGCACTAATGCCAAAGGAGCAATGGATTGCTCACAAATTGCCTAAACAAATGGATTTGCCTATCCATGCCTTTCATAAATAATTCAATCATGTATTTTTTTTTTATTTTTGTCACCCTAGGTTAGAGTAACCAGTGAAAAAGAGACATTTTATATCTTTATGTATTTTTAAAAAGATAAAAATTAAAAAAATAAAGATAAGTAATGTGAAATAGTTGTAAGAGTAAAATAAGCTAAATAAAAATATATACATAAAAGCCATTTGTATTTATATATATATATATATATATATTTGATTTTATTATAATTTTCGATGTAAAAATTATAATATCTAATATTAATTTTTAATCAATCGTTATTATTATATTTTATTATCTAAAGTTAAATATTTTCATTTTAGATGAGTTAAATATTTTATAAATAAATATAAAAATTAAATATATTTTTAGTTTCTCAAATTTGAGACATTTTTTTTAGTCTCTCAAATTTAAAATTGATCTTTTGACTCTTTTTGATCTTATAATTTTTAAAATTTTATTTTAGTCTTTATATTCAAGTTTTAAAAAATTGTCAAATATTATTGCATAAAATTTATTTATTAGTGTCTTTATTAGTTAAAATATTTCTGTCTCAATTTATTTTTTTAAAAATATGTTATTAGTGACTTGAAGAGCTAAAACAAAATTTTAAAAAAATTTAAAGATTAAAAAATAATTTTAAATTTAAGAGATCAAAAATATATTTATTTTAAATTTGAGAGTCTAAAAATATATGTTTTAAAATTTAATTAAAAGTAGAAGTTTTATTCAAAATATCAAATCAAGTTTTTAATAAAGATTAATTAAGTTAACAGATATTTTATATCAACAATATAATTATTAAATAAAAGTACATTATTAAAAAATTGATTTCTAAAAGTTCATAATTATAATAAAATATTCGTTTGAAAATGTTAGTTTTTTTTTATATAAATTTTAGAGCATTTACAATAGCTGTATCTTAAGTAATCTTAATTTAAGATACCATATTTATTTATTTTTTTAATTGGAGTCAATCTAGATGACGTCATTAGTTGCATAATTTTAAGCACATATCTTATATAAGATATAGCTGCTTCACATAAAAATTATTTGGATGCAAAGTTCAGTACATAAAAAAAATATAAATAACAAAATAACAAAATATGATATCCTTAACCGTTACTTAAAATCTTACTGTTCGAGTAAACTTGTATTAAGTGACTTACTAGCTGATTAAATGTGATCAATCCTTAATAAAATAAAATACATTTTTAAGGTTAGATGCTCTTAAATGTTAAAAAAGTAGTCTTATCTCTCGACCATGAATATTAAGATTTCACCCACTAAATATATATATATATATATATATATATATTATATTATTATATAAAAACACCGCGTTAAAAATTTCTCACATAGGTTATTGGAAAATATTGTAATTATTTTCTATAATGGCACCTTATTATTATTAATCTTTTCAAATCCATTATTTTAATGAGTGTTCAGACTATGTTATGTAATTAAATGATTATTTAAACACATTAAAAGAACCATTTAAAAAAAAAAGAATTATTTGATCAAATAAAGCTAAAATAAGTAAAGATTAAAATGATTAATGGATGAAGCACTAGTGTTGAAGTTAAAAAAGAATGCAGGAATTCTGGGGGCATTATTATAATTTTAATAAAAAAAAATATTAATATTTAATATGGTTAGATTAAAGGATGAATTGATTAGAAAAACAAAAACCTATTATTGTTGAAGTCAATTCCAATGTGTAAGGGACTATAAAATCCAGACGCAGGCCTAGCTCTGCTCACGTCTACTACGCTTTGAATTGAATCTGAGGATTCAAAGAAGAAAGAGTGAGAGAGGTTGCTCCGGTGAAGGGTCTTGTTCTTCATTTTCGACATGTCGTTGCTCTCAGATCTCATCAACCTTAACCTCTCCGACACCACCGAGAAGGTGATCGCAGAGTACATATGGTTAGTTTCTCGCACTCACAGTCTTTCCTTCTTGTTATTGTTCCTTACGTATCAATAACAGCAGACATCACAATATGGGAAATGTTTTTGCGTCTGTCTGTTAGTGTATGCATGATTTTACGTGTGCAGGAACGTTTTTCTTGGATCAAATGATGGCTGTGGTTAATTTTCATCAATCTTATACATGATCCATCACTCTGCTACTTATTTTTGTTACACTCCTTCAAAAACACCCTATAAAATTTTGATCCCGGGGTTCTGAGTTCATCATATATCATTCACTTTAGTATTGCAAGAATGAATTTTTTTCCTCCTATTATTTCCCCTGTTTTTCTTTTTTATTTATTATTTTATTATTTTTTATTACTCTCTTGCTCTGTTCCATTTTTTTGCCCTTTTTGTTATGTATTTTATTCTCTCTCTATTTTTCAGCCCCTCTCTGAGTATTGGTTTGTTTTGGGGGTTGAATCTAAGTGTTTCCTCTGTTTTGGCTCTGTCTTTTGGTGATTATGCAGGCTTGTTTTTTTATAGTATTTGATCACTTCAAAGATGAGTTTGCTTGTTTGTTTGGAAATGATTTTAAAAAGGAAGAGTTTTTTTTTCTTCTCTGTTTCTTTGTTTGTTGCTTGTTACTTAGTTTCTTTCTTTTACACAATACAATCTAAATTAACCTGGATATTCACTCCCGAACGACAACAACTTCCTGTAGTACCTTTTTTGGGGGTTAAGATTTTCCCTTTTCATAAATTCTAACTTTTATTTTTCATTATGGTAGGATCGGTGGATCAGGAATGGACCTAAGGAGCAAAGCAAGGGTAATTCACTTTTGTAGAAAAATAAAAAATTGAAAGAAAAAAAAAGGGTGCGTTTGTTGTGTTTTCTGTTTAACTAAATGTAAAATGGTTTTGGCATATAGACTCTCCCAGGACCAGTTAGCGACCCTTCAGAGCTGCCCAAGTGGAATTATGATGGTTCCAGCACAGGTCAAGCTCCTGGAGAAGACAGTGAAGTGATTATATAGTATGTTTATTTTATATTTTATTTAATCATCTTTTTCCTTAATCAATACATATTTGTAAACTTTTGATTCCATTTTATTGATATTCCATTCTTTACTGATTTGGGCTTTATTCAATATAGTCCACAAGCCATTTTCCGGGATCCATTCAGAAGGGGCAACAATATCTTGGTGAGTTTCTTTTTGCCTTTACAACTTGGTTTTGCTAATAAGTTCAATTTTGATGCACCCAGTGACAGATCCACGATGTTTCTTTTTGGGACAATTTTTTTTACAACATTTTCATTAAAACGAATTTTTTATTTATTTACAAAATACATAATTGTTGAGTTTCTTAATCTCTCTCTATTTGGTACGGTGTTTCTTCTTCAAAATCTGATGTCTTGTATCGCTGGGTGCTTAGTGTTAGAAAAGTGGTAAAAATTGGGATACAATTTATTCTCTTAAATCTCTTTTAAGTTTTACCTTTCTACATCCATTTAAAAGAAAAAAGTCTTGCGAGGAGCAACATTACTAAGATTTTTATGTTGCCAACGATCTAGAAATTACTCATTTCTTTTAAATTAACTATTATATCCAACAATTTGCATACCCAAAATGATTTGTTGCTACATTAAATCGTTTAGATAATAACAGCTTAAAATTATTAAATTACTTACCAAATGTATGTAGTTGACCTTGTTTCCATGGTGTAACATTGTTTTTCATCTGCAATTCACTCCAGGTTATCTGTGATGCTTACACTCCTGCTGGAGAACCAATTCCCACTAACAAGAGGCACGATGCTGCTAAGATATTCAGCCACCCTGAAGTTGTTGCTGAAGAGCCCTGGTATCAATTTTTGTTTCATTGCTGTTTGTAGTAACCATTTGCCGCTAGTTTTCTTTTCCTCTGACCAACTCTTGCATGGTTTTTGGTTAGGTATGGTATTGAGCAGGAATACACCTTGTTGAAGAAAGAGGTCCACTGGCCTCTTGGGTGGCCTGTTGGTGGTTTCCCTGGACCTCAGGTGAATACTCTCTTTCGTTGATGTGTTAAATTTTAGTATAGTTACTTTACGCATGAAAACTTATATTGTGCATTTCACAAAGTCACTAGATTCGGTCTAGTGATGGAAGAATTGGAGTAGTTTATATAATATTTGAAGTTTAAATTTTATTGTCGTTATTCTAATAATTTTTTAACAATAAAAAACATTGGCCATTTCACATATTAACTCGAATTATCAATTTACACACATGGGGGATCTACATGACACTAATCACTTAGCAGTATCAAAACATATCCTTAACCCTTTTTAAAATTTGTTGGAACCGTAATTTTTTATGGAAGATGAATAAGCCAATTTATGAGTGACTTTTGTAGGGAATGATACTGTTTCCTTTTCTTATACACGTGCTCTACTTTTATTTTGGAATCACAATGTATTTTATTTGTTCAACAGGGGCCATACTATTGTGGTGTTGGTGCTGATAAGGCTTTTGGCCGTGACATTGTTGACGCACATTACAAAGCCTGTCTCTATGCTGGCGTTAACATCAGTGGAATCAATGGAGAAGTGATGCCCGGTCAGGTAAATTGGATAAATAAGAGTATGTTTGAGGAACCTATGAGTTGATTTATTATGCAAGACAGTACTTTTTTTTATTATGTATCTAAACAAAATTAAACTTCCTATAAATACTAAAAATACTTTTTTTTAATTTTATATATAACAAATTTTGTTTCCTTTCTTTTATACATATAAATATAATCGATATTGTTGAAATGATTTAATTCTCACTTTTGTCTCAAACACATCCTACATTATGCCATATTTTCGTAATCATCGTTGATTACCCTTTATTTTCATTTTTTGTTTGGTAAAAATGTATTTTCAATTAAATATCACTCATGGTTTTGATACTTTTAAATATATAGTGGGAATTCCAAGTGGGTCCTGCAGTTGGTATCTCAGCCGGTGACGAATTGTGGGTAGCTCGTTACATCTTGGAGGTAGGTGGCACACGGCTACGTGACTAGTGTTACTGCACCTATCTTATGATTGCAACTAACTTTCTTTTTTCTATGGTAAACTATCAGAGGATCACTGAGATTGCTGGTGTGGTGCTTTCCTTTGACCCCAAGCCAATTAAGGTTAATATTTTCTCACATCGCTTCCAACCCCATAGAAAAACTTGGATCTTTTATTTATTTTTCTTTATGAGGAATGCTAATGACACTCTCTCTAACACTATTAATTATTGGTTGAAATTACAAATTTTGTAAATCTTGAATTTTTTTTCTTCTAATTTAGTGGTAAGATTCACAAAAATTTATAATTTCAACAAATAGTATAAAGTGTTAGGAAGAGAGTTTTTGAAGAGAGCTTAGCTAATTCTATTGTCATTTGGGTTATTACAAAACCAGGGTGATTGGAATGGTGCTGGTGCTCACACAAACTACAGGTAACCTTTATTACTTGAACTAAAGTGCTAAATTAAATTTTAATCTCTATGCTTTTATTAACAAGTGCACAATGACGATGAGAATAATAATAATAATTTTGCAGCACCAAGTCAATGAGAAATGATGGTGGCTATGAAGTGATCAAGACAGCCATTGAGAAGTTGGGGAAGAAGCACAAGGAGCACATTGCTGCTTACGGAGAAGGCAATGAGCGTCGTTTGACAGGACGACATGAAACAGCCGACATCAACACCTTCTTATGGGTAAAGCTACAATATAAAATGACCATACCATGTTCCTTTGTAGTTTGAACCACCTTCTATTTGGCATTATTTTCTATGTGAAACCTAACATTGGAGGGACCCTTTGAGAAGATAATGTTTCCCTTTCACTTTACTTTTTGCCACGTTTTTGTAATCAAAAGTGAAACTAGAAAATATTTTGTTACACCAAAATTTCACTAATTTTCTCATTGCTTAGACTTTAGAGTTTAGACCAAGTTGTAAGGTGTTTATTTATATAATTTGATTGATTTTTCAGGGAGTTGCAAACCGTGGAGCTTCTATTAGAGTTGGGAGGGACACAGAGAAAGCAGGGAAGGGATACTTTGAGGACAGAAGGCCTGCATCAAACATGGACCCATATGTGGTTACTTCCATGATTGCAAACACAACCATTCTCTGGAAGCCATGAGTAGCAATGAATGAATCTCACATGCAAATTGTTGTTTCCCCATCGGATGGAACGAGGAGCAGTTATGCTTTTCTAAGTAGGATTTTCATTTTCTTTTCCTTTTCCTAGAATTTCGATTTCAATTTCAATTTGGGCTATTGTTATGGTTGGCACTGTGCTTGAGAACCTTGGTGGTTGGTACAACTAACTACCCAGGATTCTTCACTGTTCATTGCTTTCTATTTCTTCCCCTCGTTTACCGATTGTTATAATAATAATAATAATAATAATGTAACTGTTCTCTCTTTTAAACAAAGAAATACCGATTGTCAAGTATGTTAATATAATATATGAAACTGTCCGTTGCAGTATTTATTCTTAGCGAGTTCCTAATGTATTCTCAAACATCGAGGACTTTTGCTAATTTTTTTCAGACATGTCCCAATAAAATAAATATATATCATTTAATGAAATTATATTAGTATTTTAAATAATTCTTATCTTTTATTTTAATTTTTATATTATTTATGTTTAACTGGCTGTTTATAATGTTTTAAAATAAAAAAAATATTAATCAGTTTAAAAAGGTTGGATTTGTTGAAAGTGTTATTTTTTGATCAAAGGTGTTGTATGTGATTTTTCAATCAAAGAGGGTTTTAGGTGGTTTTTGGATCAAAGTGTTTTACACTTTTTCAGTTTTGACCAGAGTGTTTTATGTTTAAATTGTACAATTCTTCATGACCAATGAGATTTGGAGTGTGAGTGTAATTTTCTTATCAAAGAATGTGATTTTTCAATAAAAGAGTGTTGTATGCAATTTGTCAATCAATGTCAAAATCCTAAAATTATTTTCAACGAAATCGTCTTATTTTTTATTTATTTAATCTTTGTGTTGAACAAGTTAAATATTATTTTATTCTATGATTTTATTAGGTGACATCCAAGTTTTTGCCTGTCGAAGTGCGTTAGAAGTGCATGATCAATGCATAACTCGATCACACCTTGGGACTAGGGATGGCAAATAAACCCGTAGCCGTAGGTAATACTCGAATCCGTCCCGACTTTAACGGGGAATATCCGCTTTGACCGGGTACGGGTACGGGTATAGGTAAAACCCGATAAAAAAAATCGCGTACGGGTACGGAGTCGGGTATATACTTACCCGCCCCATCCCCGTCCCCGTCTCCATCCCCGTCCCCGGTTAAATACCCATCCCCGTTTAATTATTTTAAAAAAATTAACATTTTAAATATTATTGTAAAATCTGAACGTCACGATGAGCAAGCAAACACTTAGGTTATGGTTTTAATTTTTCAAATCTGATTTGCAGTCCAGACAACAACCCCTTTCTGCTTCTCTCTCTTACTCTTCACATTCACATTCACATTCACCTTCTCCCATTTCACCCCATCCGCCACCGCCGTCACCACCGCGCCCGACGCTTCCGGCGATATCGACTTCATCCGAGCAAGTTGCAACACCACGCTATACTCGGACCTCTGCCTCTCACGCTTCGCCGCCGCGGTGCACCGCAGCCACGCTAACCTCGCCCGCGTGGCCATCGCCGTCTCCCTCTCCAAGGCCCACGGCGCCGCCGCCTACCGCACCAGCCAGTCAGCCACGGAGCCACCGCACCAGCCCTTTTTTTACGGGTACGGATACGGGTATACTCGATACCCGACGGGGACGAGGATGAGACAAAATTTACATACCCGACGGGTATGGGGACGGGGACGGGGACAGGTATCGGTTTCAGTCCCGGGAATGGGGACGGGTATCATGAAACCCGTACCCGCCCCGCCCCGCCCCGTTGTCATTCCTACTTGGGACTTTGATTTGAGTTTAATCTCATCATGCATTTTACTTAGAATTTCTTCATACATGGATATAATCTTTTTAATTTGAATCTCCTCCGTAAAATTAAAAGTAAAAATTAATATAATTATTTAAAGACTGAATTAAAAATATAATAACTTTAATATTAAAATATAAAATAATAACATAGATCAAAATTGATAACATCACATAACACTAAAACCCTTCAAATAGTTTGAATTTGAATATACTACAAATTAATTTCCTAACATCAAAAATAATAGTTTGTATATGTTAGTATCATCAAAATATTTTGGGTGCATGTAATTTTTAAATTAATTATTTCTTAATATCATAATATGTTAAAAAATTGTTTAGATAGATTTTTTCGTAAGCATTTTTTGAAGAGTAAAATAAGAAGAATAAATAAAGTTTTTTTTTCATTATGGTCATTTATTTTTTATATTTGGATCAATTTTGTCCTTTCAAAATAATCATCTTTTTCAATTTTAAGATATGATTTTGAATCAATTTTTAATTGATTCAAGATGTGAAGCTTGTAACATTAAATTTACTTATATGAAAATTATAAAAATTGAATTGATGTTTGAATCTAAAAGAATTATAAACATAACGAAAATCATGTGAAAAATTTGTTGTATATATATGATATTCCAAAAGAAAATTAGATCCAGAAATATTTTTATTTTGATTATATTAAATTATTAAGGAAACCTTATTTGAAAATGGTAGTTTTTCACATTTCAAATTCAAATTTGATTCTGTCATTAATATCTTACTGTTAAAATTTGGATTAATTTTCTTTTAATTACCAAATTAATTTGCTTTAATTACCAGATTTATTTTTCTTAATTATCGAATTAATTACGTGTTTTTTTTTAGGATTTTTGAGACTCTATAAATAGAGGTCTCCGGCACACTATTTTCTCATTCAAAAATTCATTTCTCTCTTCCTTCTTTATGAGTGCTCAAATTTTCTAATTACTAGTTTTGTTCCTCAATTCCTTGAGATAACTCTGTTGTATCCTGAGGGCTTGTGCGTATCCCGCGGATAAGTCCTTAAGGTCAGTGCTATCACACGCTTCAGGGAAATTTTATTAACGTTTGTTTGATGTTTCAAGTTGCTCATAGCTGCGTCCACAATTTTATACAACAAAATTTATCCCATGAACAATTAAAAAATAATGTGAAATTAAATTTTTTGAATTTTCACTTGCTTTCTAGACTTTTTTTTATGTGATTTTTGTATGTTTACGATAGTTTTAGTTTGAATTACATTTGTTTTCAATAATTTTCATACAATTAAATCTAACAAAATAAATTTTAAGTCTTAATTCAGTTAAAAAATAATTTAAAATTATGTCTTAAAAATGAAAATAATTATTATTTCAAAAGAATCAAATCGACTAAACATTAAGAAATAAAGGATAAACTAGATAATTTAACATATAAATATAAGCTAAAAGATAAAAATATAATTTGACCTAAAAGAAATTTAATTATTTGATTCAAATATAATATCTTAAAATAAAGAATTTGATTATTTTTATGGAAATATAAATTAAAAAATTAAGAAAAATTAAATTCTTTATCTAAAATTTTGAAAATAAAGAAATTTAATTTCTTTATAAAAAATGTAGAAAATTCATTAAAGCAATTGAAATTCAAAGTTTGTAATTCGTTAGAATTTTAAAGTCTTTTTTTAAAATACAACCTAGCTAAACGCAATTTCAATAGTTACAAATATCGACCAATAGTTTACTGTACAAACAACAATGATACAACAAACAACCAAATTAGTAACCAAGAGAAATTAAAAATAAAATAAAAGTACAAATAGAAGATTATAGTGTTCTTGTTTACTTACACCACGATAATTCAGTGAATATACTTGCTATGTCAAAGCCAAATCAAATGAATCGAGGGAAATCACTCAAGAAAGGGTAAAAAAAGTAGTATTAAAAAGGAGAAGACAATCTATGGAAAGATCTCCATAAATTAGTGGTTAAAGATTATAATTAAATTAAATTGTATAAGAATATAATTAAAATCATGAGAGTAAATGAAAAAGAATTCACCTGGAAGTAGTTCTTGAAATTGTTGTGCTTTTACCGCGTATGTTTAATTAATTTCAGTAATTGATCACAAAAACACATACCCTTCTAGCAACGTCGAAGGAGATATTCTTCACCTCGATGAGAAGAAAGTGATAAGAATTTTTTTTGCGTGAAGAAGTATAAGGGGCATCCATGAATACTTTCTTGACATTGAGGTGCTAAAGGAGTATGTCTTCTTCTTCTTCAACGCTGGACGAGTATGTGGATTTGTGGTCTATCAACGAAATGCATGCATGCACCAAAAATGCCAAGAAAGAAGAGAGATCTAGAATGAATGGATGTGTGAGTGCATAGTCAATGGGTTTATAGGTTGTGCTGTGGCAGAAAAGTTAAACAAATTTAAATCTAATAGATAAGATTATTTTCTTGAGTCTCATTATCTTTTCTCATCTGAATTAGAGAGATAAATTATTGATATTATCATTAAATTTAATAATCTTAATGGGTCACCACAACTAACTAGCAAGACGGTTATCATATTTCTTTTTTCATATTGTATGCTACAATCTACGATCACTTTTGGAATGACCAATAAATAAAATGGGTATTGGGAGATTATTTTTGTAAGATCTAAAAATGACAAAAAAGAAGAAGATATTCTGTTGAATAATCTAAATATATTAATTTATTTTATATCTTTAGTTTTTTTGTTAAATAATTTATTAGTACTTTAATTTGTATAATCCCCAACATATTTATTATATATAATTAAAATTTATAGCAAATTATATATAAATAAATATAATAAAATTTGCTTTTATTGATAAAAAGAGATCAACACATTCATATTTTATATAGACATATATCAGTAAAAATAAATCTTATTACATAACAATTTGATCTATTTTATCTATAAGTAATAAATTATACCGATAGATTATAATAAATAACAACTTGATCTATCTAATTTATAAGAAACAAATCACTACCGATAGTTTGAATTTGAATATACTAGAAATTCATTTCCTCGCATGATCAGAATATTTTCATGACATTTTCAAGCAAATATATTGTCATTTTCTTTACCGCCCATGTCTATATATCTTTTATGACGAAACTGATTGTTGGAAACTAATCATCAAAAAGAAAATAAAGAAAAATGAAAATTATTGCATTAATTAGAAAAAGGCTAGCTGAAGGTGAATGTTCATGATTGCAACATTTATAGGAGTCTATTCATCCGGTGAATGGAGTACGCAAATGCTATATGATCAACTAAGCTCAAAATAGCCTAAGAATTATTGACAAAATGTCCTCATGCAATTACCAAAAAGTAAAATACAATAATTCAGCATTGAAGAGAATCATTTTTATCTAAATGTAAACTCAATTCTCTGCATTGGTTCTCAGTAAAATGAAACAAAGGTTTAAGAACTAGATTTCTCATCATTTAATCATGCTAACTACGTTGATAGATTCTGATATTGAGTTGCTAGCTGAAGTAACACATGCGAAGTAGCTATTCCCTCCTTTTGATTCCTTTAAAATCGTCTTTGCATTGTATACTGTAGTTACTGATTACAATTTACGAAGGGATGTTATAAGATCATGAACAAAAGAATAATAAATACACGAAGCATTCCCACACACTATATAAATGACTTTCTGTCGAAAGAAAAATGGTTTAATCGAAAATGGATTTCACATGTAAGTTGTACCTGACATGCAAAAGTAAATGAAATTGTTACTTAATACATTTAATACTAATTTATATCTTATTATTTTAGTTAAAATATTTTTTTAATGAACTTTTAATTATAATATTAAATATTTATTCACATATATATATATATATGTATATATATATATATAGTTTATCAATTAAAATAAATTATTTTCAAATATTATAAATAATTCACAATTTTTTCATTCTAAAATTTAATTTCATAACTTACAATTTTATAAATACTTTAAAATTAAATATATTATAACGTATATTTAGAATAAAAAACACTTTTAATAGTTTATAATTTTATAAAATACCTTTTATTATATGTCAATGTCATATACCTACATTATGCATTTGAAAGAAAAAACACATATAAGTGTGATTTGATTTGGCTTGGTCTATTTCAAATTTCAATCTGAAAACTAAATCAAACGACTTAGTTTATGAAAATAATTTTTTTTTTTGAATAGAATGACTTTAACAAATTTTTTTTTACAAATTTTCAATTGTTTTAAATCGATTTTGATCATTTAGTTAGTATGATTTTGAATGTCCCTGATTATAAATAACTCTATAAGAATTTGGTTCCATAGGATGTAATCTATTCTTTTGATGGAACCATGCCAAGGAGAGCAAGAAGAGATATATTGAAGGATCCAAAATGAATTTGTTAGTTAGGAGGATTTAGTTAGTTCGGAGTCTGGTGAGTTTGGTGGGCCCAAACTGCTTTTCTCATGGGCCATACTCAGAGATCCTTATTATGCATTATTTGTATATATTATATATAGTATAAGATTCATACATTTTGCTCTTGTATTTTAGACTAAATAAATTAGGATTTTTGGGCTATAGGCTTATTGAGTCTATTTTTGGGCTTAATGGGCATTGGGTATTTTGGTATTTAATATTGGACTCATTTTATTTCTTTTATTATTTCTTAGTGTTTGAAATAGTTTGATCATTGTATTTAGGTCATTAGAGTAGGTTCTGAAAGAAAAAGTTTAATTAGGCAAAGTTAGCTAAATTAGGTTACATTTAGGTGTAACTTGAGATGCATTTGGTGCACATGTGCTAGTTTAAGATTGGCTACACATGATCAATCCCAAATAATTTCAAATTAATATCAAATGCAACCTAAATGACATTTGGATAGCACATGGGACCGGCATGTGCTTGCCAAAGAGTTTGAAATTCAAATTTTATTTGAATTTCAAACTTTTAGGCGCCAATGTGCAAACCTAGATGGGTGGTGTCAAAGCTAGCTTCCCTTGTCTATACATTAAGCTTTCCTTCACTCTTTGTACTCATTTTTTAGAATAATATTCAGAGCATTTAGTTTTAGTTGAATTCTCTCCTCTTGAAAATCCAAAATAACTTAGGAAATTCTAGAGTTCCTAGAACACTTATAAGAATTAACACCTTTGTGAACAATCATTTACTCCTTTGGCTCAGAAGCTTCCAACTCTTGAGTTTGGTGCGCCTACACCTCTATTCCTCATCCACTTGCACGTTCAAATTCACTCAAAGAAAGTCCAAGAAGCATTAGAGAATGTCCAAGAAGCATTAGAGCAATTTTAGGAGGAGTCATCCATCATTCTCCTAGATTTGCCATCATCTTTTGTTTTGTTTGTCTTTTTTTTTTTTTTTTTATTTTTTTTTTTTTTTTTTTTTTTTTTTTTACAATATGGTATCACAGCACATTATCCTAAAAAATTACCATTGTTCCTTCATCATTTTTTCTTCTTCATTTTATTTTCTATTTTGTTTTTCTTGAGAAACCTTTCCCATGGAATTGAAGCCTTTTCTTCCCTTTGATATTTTCTATCCTATTTTTCCCAATTTTTCAAAATCACAAAACCCCCATCTAATCGCGTATCAGTTTCTCAGTTTGGCTTCTCCTCTCTCCTTCCGCTCTCAATTTCTCTCATCCCTAATCGAGTCTCTAATTATTGCCATGATTTTAAATTTTTTTTTTTTTTTTTTTAATTTATTTATTTATTTTTTTTTTATTACCAATATCAACAGGAGAGAAGTCATTCTCGTACAGACGCAGCAGCCAAGGGGTATATTTTTCTAGACCCTAATTTCTTACTTTCCTTTTTCTTTTGTTTTTTGGTTTTCTCTTTTACTCTTGTAACTCAAAAAAAAAAATGACAGTAGAGAAGTCATGTATATATATATATATATATTTTTTTTTTTTCTTTTTGGAACAATATTACCTAAAAAAATACATTTGGAAAAAAAATACGTGATTAAAGTTTGAAGATTTTTTTCTTCTTCATTTCAAGTTAAATTTAACAATTCAATTAATAATTTTGAGTAGACTAAGATGTATAATTATTGTGAGTTCTAAATTTAAATTTTTATTTTCATTGTAATTTTTATCGATAAAATAAAATAAAAAAATGTTTCTTAGTGCAAAAAATAATAATAATTAAAAAAACTATTTTGGTTGAATTAACAAAACACACACACACTACAGAATAAAAGTAAAATACTGAAGCATAAACCCACGCGAACAACTCTTTGAACTCTGCAGCAGCTACCTCTTGTCAATCTCGGGTGGAAGAGATGTTTCTGCGTGTGTCGGCATCAAATTTGCTTAAAAAACTTCGCTTTCCTGCTTCCCATGCCTTCCCTGCCTCTACAGCTACCAAAAATGCATTGCCCATTTCATTTTCCGGTATGTAAAACCATGCCTACTCTGCCAATTATGTCATTCTTGTTGTAATTTGATGACACCCCTTAGTAGTGTGTTGGTTTGTTTTTAATTTGTGTATTTATATGATGATTGAGGTCATACCTTTTTGTTTTTGAATTTTAGATGGTGGGTTTTGAATAAATTTTAAGTGGTATATTCCATACACAAGAAATGGTTGTGAAGGTTGCATTGTTATAGCATCATGGCTTTAATTGCCAGGGCTTTTTTATATCCTGTCTATTGTGGTTTGATGTAATGCTAACCGGCAAGTTTGTGGCAAATCAAAATGGAAACTTTGGTGGGTACAAGCATCTTTTCTAGAAAGGAGTTCCCTTCTTTAGTGTCCATTTTGAGTTTTGTGTTTAGTGGAATTGAAAATGAAACAAAAGATTGTTACTTCAGATTTCCCACGAAAACCCTTTCATCCACTTCCTAATTTTAAGGAAAAGAGCTTTTTTCTCCTTTGACATTGAAATTTTGCTTATTTACATGTTTTGCACCCATCATTGTTGAATTTGCTGCATAGGTAGATTCATGGTTAATTAATTGTGCATGGAGAGTGATTTTATTATCCTGCAAGGAAGATGATATTTGCTTATTCTTACTTTCTTGTTGTTTTTGTTATTCCAGGTAAACTCAAACTTTCCCATTGCTACCATACTGGTTCAGATGGTTGGAGGATAGATCTTAGGGATCCTTGTGTATGGATCGTTATATCTGGACATGTAGGTATGATTTTTTAACTAGCAGATTAAACTGTTGTATTGTCATTTAATCATTTTCAAATTGTGATGATGCTATCTCAGTATCTCTCTCTCTCTATATATATATGTATATATATATATATATATATAGAGAGAGAGAGAGAGAGAGAGAGAGAGGGATCCACTTATTCCACTCAATAACTCATATTCTATATCAAATTTCAACCATTAAATTAAAAGTTTTTAATGCATACATTAAATATGCAAAGTTTTAAAATTTGAAAACCATTTGATACTCCATTTCATTAATTCAAACTGACAGATAATCATAAAAATATTTTATATGTTGATTTGAATTAATTAAATGGAGTATTAAATAGTTTTCAAAATTTTTAAAACTTTACAAACTTGATCTATGTATTAAGAACTTTTAATTCAACATTTGGATTGTTGAAATTTGATGTAGAACATAAATTATTTAATGGATTAAGTCTAGATAAACTTATTCTTAGAGTATGTAGATCCCTCCTCATATATATTCCATGTGATGCATAGATAGTAAAGTTGAACCCTTTTCATTTTTAAATGAAGATCCAGGGGTTTCTGATCTTTTTAAATGTTAATATCTCAATCTTGTTTTTATTTTCCTATCAAGTTTTTTGCTTTTACAAGCTTCTATGTTACATGCTTATAGAACAATGCCGCAAAAGTCTTAATAAGCTTTCTTTCCTTTATTGTTAAAGAAAACTTGTTCAACCAAAAGGTTAGGTTTCTAGGTGCACGCCCGAAGATAGGTTTCTTCTCTAAGACGCTCCTCATGAAAGACTTCAAGCTTGAAGCATGGAAAAAGCGCTTGCCCACTCCTATGTTGACTTTAATTTAATTAAGATAGTAAGGACTGTGAGGATTGAAATCCTCCACAACTTGTCTGAAGAGGCTTTGGTACTGTTTAAAGGAAACATTTCAACCAAAACTTTTAAGATGTCAAAGCATGGAGAATGGTTTTTGATGTTTGAGTAAACAACTTAATTCAGTGTTTATTTAATAAGAGTTTATCATGTTTGCTTACTTTGACCATGAAGCTTATTGAAAAGCTTTCCATAGTAGAAGCTCTTCCATTTACTTTCCATAGTACATGACTAGCACCTGACCATGAAGTTTGTTGAAAAGCTAAGATTATGATTATAAGTCATTTTCATAAGCTTAACCAAACATTTGCTTAATTGCTCTTATATGATAGGATAAGCTCAAATAAGGTTTGTAGAAGCCCTTCTAAACTCCCTGTTATCTATCTATTGCATATTTATTATCATTATCTGTTGCAACTATTTCAAAGCTATTTACACTTGAAGCCAAACAAAGTTATTAAATGATTTTTTCCTGAGTCAATTGCCACTTTTTTGGCGTACACTCTATCAGTGCAAGACTTAGAATATTTATCCCATTGATTATTTTTGCCAGTCTCTGAGTTTCCATATTTCAATCTGACATTAAGAAGTATTGGTAGCTATTTTTAGATTTTTTTTTGGGGCAATTCATGTCTGTTTTATTTTTTTTCCTCCATTTGCTGCTTTGGGTTTAGCTTCATTCTCCTCTCTTTGCTCCTGAGATTCTTTTTTCAATTAGAGTAAGTTTGGTTCACATAAAAAAATAGGTTGAAAGGTTCAGAATAGAAGCTCCTACATATATAGTGACAGCATGGGAGCATGATGGGAGTTAATCTTGGCCATCCAATCATGGATTATTTTAATTACTTTTAATCTCAACTATCCATTTGAATTGTATGGTTGAGATTTGCTTCTCTCACCTCTCATGCTCTCAACTTTTTATTAGAAGAACAGGTGCAACAAGGATTGAACTAATGAACTCTAGATCACTTGGTCATAGATTCTTTGATACCTTGTCTTGAGTCAACCATCCCCAAAACTTAAGCTGTTAAGTAAGAATGATTTTATTTTGACATCTTACGACTAACAACAAATTTACCTGATGAATATTTGTTGAAAACTTCATCCCATGGAAAACTTTAATATCTTAGCACTCATTATCAACATTTATAGTTGATTGAACAGTATTCTCATATAATTTAAATTGACTAATCTAATTTTTGTGCAGCAATGACTTTAGGAATTAGTGCCTGCACTGTATTTGCAGAAGGTGCAACAACTGAAGCATCTTCTGATAATGGACTGGGGGATGACATAATTGGATTAAAAAAAGTTGAGGATGACTCTGTAGTATCAAACATACATACAGCAAAATGGAGAGTCTTTACAGATAAAGCGAGAGAAGTTTTTCTGCAGGCATGCTGTTTCTTCCTATTACTTTGTTATTAACTTCTATTATACTCCTCACCTTGGGGAAAAGATTGCTGTTGTCGTTGACTATCTAGTATTTGTCCATTTTCTGCCAGGGAAAATTAGATGAAGCTGAAAAACTCTTCCTTTCTGCTATACAAGAAGCTAAAGAAGGTTTTGGGGAGCAAGATCCACATGTTGCTTCTGCATGCAACAATCTGGTCATTTTACTTGCAGTTGATGATTGTTTCTTTCTTAATTGTTGTGAGAATTGTACAATAAACCCTTTGTTTTTCTTCCTTTGGAGAGTGTTATTTTTCTGTTATATTTTTGATAAAGGAGTTCTATAGGAGGGAAAAAGGTAAAAATACAACTAGGGGAGGTCAAGGTTACGTCCTACCTGAAAAAAGTAAAAGAAAAGAGACCAAGAGTCTTATTATTTATAAATGCAGTAAAGCTTTCCAAGCTCACTCCATATCAGACTATCAAACCAATCATCAGTGCATCTCATAAAGGCTGAAAACACAATCTTCTAATCCTTAGAAGCACTTATTTAGTCTCTGCCTTTCTTTCCTTTTTTTAAAATGTATTTTTAATCTTTCTTTGATGCTTATGGAGGATTTCTTATCTTCAGTTAGTTAGGAAATTCTATGTTATATTTCATATTTTTTTCCTGAGATTTGTTGAATTGTTTCTGAAGTATTTGGATTTCTGGTATGAAATGTTGGTACATCTATCATAATTATGATTTACATGGCAAAAAGGCTTATGGTATTTACTTTTGATGCACAACTTGTAATGCTCAAATCTTATATAATTGAATAAATCATCAATTTAGTCCTTAGAGTATTACTCTCTCTCCTAATTAGTAAGGGAATAAAGTTATGTAAGTAGTCCCTTAAGTATTAGAAATTATGCTACATAGTCTCGAACGTATTGAAAAATCCTTCAAATTATTCTCGCAACATTAGTAAAATATATCATAGTAGAGATTAAATTGATGAATTTTCAATACTTTAATTATTTTAAGGACTATTTAGAAAACAGGGTGATACTTCAAGAACCAAACCAAATTGATGGTTTACTCCACATAATTTGGTGACAGTATAATGGTAGACATGTAGTGAACACTTTCAGCTTCTTGCAATGTTAGGTATTTTTATTTCTTTTGTAAAGCAGTCCAATTGGTCGATTATTCATGAACGCGACCCTTGTTGTTTAGGCTTCTTGAGAAAGTAAATGACTCTGATATTACACAACTCATTTTTTTATTGTTATTTCAGGCAGAACTGTACAGGGTCAAAAAGGCATTTGACAAAGCAGAACCATTGTATTTGGAAGCTATCAACATACTGGAGGAATCTTTTGGTCCTGATGATGTACGGTAGGGTGAAATTACTGTGCTGCCACCATCAATAATGCTTCATATACCCGGAACCAAAAATGTGTATACAGTCAATGAATAGAAATGATGAAATAGAGCTTGCATCCATCAGATTTAATGCCCATGAAGTAACGACCTGTTTGGTAGTCAGGATATGATAAGAGTGAGATACGTCAATAACAAGATAAACTTTAATTTTATCTAATGCTTGGTAAACATAATGTTAACAGATCAAATAACATTATCATATATATATATATATTTATTTAATATAGACCAATAAGATATGATATAAATTATGTTTGAATTATAAAATTACTATTTAATTAAAATTACATATAACTTTTTAAAAAACAAGTTTTAATTTAATTGTTTAAAATTTTCAAATTAAAACAATATAATTTCAACTATATTATGTAAAAAAAAATTTAATTTATGTAATTACTCTTCTTAAAATTAAAAAAAAAATACAATTTTTTAAAATTATAATTATTATTCAAATATTTTCTTTAAAAATAATAATTTTTATTTAACTTAATAATATACTTTAAATTTACATGTCAAAATTATAATAATTATATAAGATAAAATGCTAAAAGAAAACTTTTATATATATATATATATTATATAATTTAAACAATACATTATATAATATAATTTTATATTATATTATAATATAATAATAAATGGTATAATGTATATAAAGAATAGAAAGAAAACTTATCTTATCATGTTACATTTTAACCTAGTTCTTCCCACGAGATAAAAGATACACTAGATCAACATGATAACAAAAGATAGGATAAGACTATCATATTCCATTGGGGCAATATACAATGAATTATAATAGGATATGATAATTAACCTTTCCTATCCTTCCTCTGTCTGTTATAAGATTTTCTTAGGGATGCTATCACAAAATCTTTGTGGGGACCTTGAATAGTGTATATATGTGACAAGTTGGATACATATGATATATGCACCCTAGCTTGAGAGGGATTGTTGAAATATTTAGTGTAATTAGGGAAATCCTGTCCTCTTTTCATTATTTACCTAGATAGATTGATTCTAATCCCTAAATTTATGGGATTGATTCTCTCAGCCTTGTATATAAATATGGCATTGTTATCACGGAATAAACACATCATTCTATAGTCTCAACTAAAGTAGGGACCAAAACCAAAATTGAGGTAAATTATATGGCTGAAAATGTATTTAAAGTTTTAACCAAATGTGTTTGTATGTATGTATAGCCTTTAGTACAATGAATTCCATTGGGCCCAATGGCTTCAATTTGAATCTTTGATCATGCAGGGTTGGGGTTGCTGTTCACAACCTTGGGCAATTCTACCTTGGACAGAGGAAGTTGGAAGAAGCCCGTGTTAGCTATGAGGTAATTTGTTGAATTCAGCCATCTTGGTCTTGGTGATGTGTTTTCCCACATTATTGCATAGAAGATAACTATATTCAACAATTTTAATTAATCTCCGTCAACTTAACCCTACTCTAACATAACTCTCTTGTACTGTCAATTATAACAATTAAACTCCCTCAATTTCAAGCATACTACATAATTTGGTGCCTTTTGTAACGACCTGATAGATGTCTATACTTTATAGTTCAATAACTAAAGCAGCAAAAAACATAAATATAATTACCTAAAGTTAACATGCAAATAGTCCTAGATATACATGTAGTAATATATATATATATATATATATATATGTATATATATATATATATGTGTATATAAACTTCATCAACGGGTAACATAAATGTAAGTCCCTCTCCCTCATTAGGACTACAACTACAAGCTATACATATATGTATATACGGTTATACTGGATAGAAGCATAAAACCTAGGTTGTTGGTCAAGCAACTACTAAGAACTAACTACATTAGAATAACTCAAGGAACAGTGCCATCCTCCAACATGTCTCTGAAAACTTGTACCCAAGGTTGTCAATATCGAAAGTTTACGTAATCTCGTGGAGGCTCCGTAAACTCGTAAGAGTTTACTTAATATAAAAAATATGTTAAAAATACTTAAAAATAACATAATAACTACCATTTAATTTCATATTAGTAAATTGCAGCAAATAAAAACTAAAATGACAGCAAATAAAAAATTAAGAAAAGATTAATATGTTAACTAGAAAATAAAAATATATTAGATAGAGAATAAAAAAGGAGAAAGAACACGGTCTAATGCAACTCGCGGAAGAGCACAACGCTACTCGACTTAACGTCCGCGCGGAGAATGACGAGTGCGGCTGCGAGCGTTGACAGCGAGTGACTGCGACTCTCGGAGAACAACGCGCAGAGGAGGAATGATGCGCAGAGGAGGCGCGGCGTGGCATGGATCGGAACGACGCACTGAGGAGCAGCAGCACGGCGCGGATCTGCATAGATCGGAATGATGCATAGAGGAGCAGCAGCATAGAGGAGCAGCAGCATGGCGCGGATCCAAACGACGCTCGAAGGAGCAGCGATGTGAAGGAGAAAGACATGCGGAGGAGAACCAAACAACCTGCGAAGGAGAGAAGAAAAGAATGAACGACGAGGTTACCCTTAGGGTTTTGGGGTTTGGTAAACTCGTAGATCTCGTTGTAAACTCGTGATTTCATGCGAGATTACTCGAGTTTACCCGAGTTTACTCAAAAACGAGTTTACCTCCGAGTTGTCCCGTTTTGCTTCAATAAACTCGTAATCTCGGGAGATATTACGAGTTATAACTCGAGATTGACAACCATGCTTGTACCTCCTTCAGTCTATTCTTGCCCTGCTCCCATGACAAGTATGATCATCACAATTCAATCACTAGGAAACATACAAGGATAAGCTCACAGAAAATAACTTAACAAGTATAGAGGTAAAGTACAACTATACTATCAACATCAATATATAACCCACACCATACAACTAGAGCAGTCAAAGTGGATTTTAGACCGTAGGCCAACCTACCCACCTTGAAAACGGCCAAAAAAAATCAAAAAGCTTATAATGGGTCTAAAAACTTAGCTCTGCCCACTTTTGCCTCGACCCACTCGAACTGAACCCGTGGTGGGCTAGGTTATCCACCTAATACACTTACACCTTTCAACCCAATCCACTAATGAACTGCTTAACCATTTATTATTATTGTTATATATATATATATATATTATTTTAATAAGGTGTCATTTTTTTGTAGAGGAAGATAAAGTTGATGTTAAACAACATGAAATTGCTATAGATTTATCTACATAAGCCTCCAATGAAGTTTAATATTGTTGGACAACTACTCAAAGACAAGAATTTTTTATTTTATATTTTTTAAAGTTGTATGCTTTTTTAATTAAGTTTAATATTGTATGCATGATACTTAGTTTGACAATTTTTATTTTAGATTAGGGGTTATTTTAGATTGGAGTTTATTTTAAATTAGAATTATTTTTTTTAAAAAAAATAGGTGGATTGATGGGTTGACCTGTTTAACCCAACTATTTGTGGTGGGTTGGACTTGGTTAGAAAATTTTGAATATTAAAGTTGGTGGATTGAATCGAGTTAACCCACTTAAAAAGTGGGTTGAGGTGGGTCTGGCCAAACGGGTCAGGTTGACTCGTTTCGACAGTCCTACATACAACTCATACTCATACATATTTTTCAACTTCAACAACACTAACACCACAACTTAGAACAAAACATACAACTTAATAACACATCTTGTGTACAACACAACAACTTAAGCAACATTACCACATATCAACATGTTAACTTTGTAACTTATCCACACAACAATACAATGCGTCATCACATATTTCAACTAAGAGTTCTCTTATTACATAAGTGAGTAATTTAAATGGTTTCACCCTACTAAACCAACTTAATAACACAATCTTTTTGAGCTTGCTAGATCAATAACAAATTTGGATAAAAATTCACCACACAATATGGTTTCTTGGATTTCATCATTTAAATTGAGAAAGTTCAATATTCTTGTCAAGGTCAGGATAACTTGGATATGAGTCTACCACGATTTTAACATGCATAACTAAGCCTATTATGGAGTTAATCTGTCGTCTATCATCCAAATATTGCATCCTTTTCAATATTTAGTTAGAGATTTTGATCCCTGACCTTGTACCTTACACAGTTAGTCACTTCATACACGTATAGCTCGAGCTTGTCCTCATACAGTTCTACATTGGTTGCTTATAATCAGTATGACTCAACTTGACTCCTATACTGTATCAACTAAAGTCCTAGAAGAGACTCTATTTCACTTCAAGAGTCAACTTCTCAAGAAGGATTTTTAATAATCGGGCTCATAAAGCACCACAACACTATATTCATAATGAGATATTCAGATTTTAAAACAACACCTCTCCTCTAGTCCTTAGTCAATCAATGCAACTCAACTCTGCATTTAGCATTCACAACACAACTACAACTTTATGCTTCACACAACTCTACTACAGTTCAACCTTTAATCTTAATCAACTTGCATTTTTCAACAAATTTAGCATTAATATACATCACCTTAGATCAATGTATAAAGCATTAGAGTCATACAACAACTTATATCATGTGAGTAATCCAATCTACTAGTACATGTTCAATACTTATCAATAAAACAAGTTTTTCATTTAGAAATTCATGCTTGGCGCCATTCTCCCCGCATTCGGTGTCGTTGAGGTAGAGAGTCTCTGACTCGTCCACGCTTAATGCCAATCTACTTGTGCTTGACATAAATGAAACAGAGGGAGCCCCTCTGTCTCTCTCTCTCTCTCCTTCTATTTCTCTTTATCCTTCTCTCTTTATCTTTCTCACTCTCACTCCCCCTCTCCCTCTCCCTCTCTCTCATGCACTCTCCCTCTGTCCCTCTTTCCTATTTCTCTTTCTCCCTCTCTCACTCTCTCCCTGCCTCCCATATTGCTATTTCTCTCTCTTCCTTGTATCTCATTATTTCTTGACCTTGTCAATTTTAATAATATTATTAAAGTTTGTTTTGTTTCTACAGATTAATGATATTTGTTAACACTTTTTTATTTATTTTTTTTTATTAGAATAAAATGAAATAATATATTTTTATCCTTCTTATTTATTATGTAACATTTTTCTTTGTTTATTTCTTTTGTTAAATTCTATATTTAAATAATTTTAACTATAAGTTTTCAACTTTTAAAAATAGTTTAGAGTCATATTTGTAATAAGATTTAAGTAAATAAATATATCTAATGAGATTATTTTAATAAAGCATATTTTTGTAAAAAATATTTATATACCTAGGAATATATTATTGTAATCAAACATGAAAATTTTTTAATTTCTAAAAATTCTATATGAATATTCCCAAGAATTTTTATGAGTAATGAATCCAATTTTAATTATTCCTAGAATTATCATTCCCGAAATTTGTAATTTCTAGGAATCATGATTCCTAGGGATGAAAAAAAATTTCTCCTACCAAACGCCCTTTTAGAGTTTTACAACTAATCACAACTTAAAACAATTAATAAAAGCACCAATTATTAATAGAAATCACAGTGTAGGGTTTCTGGCAAGGCTTGGTGTAGCTAGTTTGCTACCAAGATCTTCCTTACTTCAATTATGTCACCTCGACACGACAACGATGATGGACAAAATCACGTAAATAGGCAATGGCAATGTTGTTGACCCAAATATGATAGTGGAATTTTAGGTTAAGCTGAGGGACTAGATTCTTAGGGTGTTCATCAAATCTTACAACGAGAGACTCAACTTAAGGGCTAACAGGGAGAGGTTGTTGTGGTTTAGGGCATATCCGATTGGAGAGATGGACCGTATCCCAATAGCCAAAATACACGAGTTTTTGGAATGGAAGGGAAAGGGCAAGATGCCCGTGATTTCGCCCTATGATACGAGTCACTAGAAGTACAATGGATTGGAGGTGACACAGTGACACCATCTAGCAAATTGTGAACTGCCCCAAGGGAGTCATACTGACCAGGCTGGTGTTTGACCCTAACTGCCTGACGCCTAGTAGACAAGTTATTACTTTTGACCATGTGATCAAGATGTTCATAAATACTGAGTGGCACAAGGACCCAACTAATGCAAATCTGAAGGATAGGCAAGGCCTAATCATGGATGGAAAAGGCTTCCACTTAAGGAGAAGCATATCATGTGAAAGATATTCACACTTGTGGAGGAGGTTGTTGGAGTGCAAGTGTGAATGAGAAGTTTTGCATTCAATAGATATAGATATGTTAAGCAATATATAAGTGAGAAGGACTCAAACTTGATGCCTTAAGATTTTGTATTAATATGTGGTGTCAAGTTCACTTGTATGATTTGCTCATGACCCATTGATTGGTGTGTTTAGCCCCCTCGTATTCTCAACATTTATTTTCTTCTACTTGTGGCTAAAAAGAATCTCTTAATGAAGACGAAAGTTACATAAAAGTCTTCAATAAGTTCTGTACGAAAAGGTCCTGAATAAGGGTTAAATAACCACCTTAAGAAACAAAAGCACTCTTCAATTTTCTTAACAATTGAGAATCTTTGACCATTTCCTCGTTATGTTGTTGCATTATTATGTAATGAACCAAATTTCATTCTTTTTGGGATCTTGAACATTGATATTTTGTTTGTTCATTTTTGGTTGTGCTCCTTTTCCTCTCTCACATGTAATTTGTTTTTGACATTTACATGGTTACATATTGCAGTTAGTCCTATTCCTTTCTGTTCTTTCATTCTAGTGACCACCTTTGGTTTTACTTTTTGGTTTTTTGACAGCGTGCTTTGAAGGTATGGACTTATTATTCTCAGGGAGAGACAAATACGTTCCTCTGTACATGCTTATCACTTTGTATTTCATTCTTATATCCTGATGTTTTGTGTTCTATGATTGAGGCTGTATGTTGTCATGATTTTAATATGTGATATGACTATTTATCCAGATAAAAAGGCGTGTTCTGGGATATGGCCATTCAGAATGTTCAGATACAATGTATCATCTAGGAGTGGTAATTATTTGTCCTTTTAAACTAATATTATTTTTTTTCTTGTTTTCTGTTTATTGAAGTAAAGATAAGGGTGATGTTGGGATCGAAAACAATGGTAGTGTTCTGTTTATTTTCAGTTGATATGCTTCTACACTAATAATTACAAAATTCAACCTTTTTTGTTTACTATTTTCAGTAATTTGGAAAGGAAATAGTATAAACAACTAAATTTGTTTTCACCATTTCCTTTAGAACATATTGGAAATAGGAAACAATATGAAACATGATGGCATTTTTATCACCACCAAGTGATTGAAAAATTAAGGTTTAAATGTACATTTTGTCACCTATTGTTTCACGCTTTCACAAATTTTGCCATCCAATTTCTAAATTTGCACATTTTGTCACCCCACTAGTTGATCGCAACAATACATGTTGATTGCTTACCTGAACAAATGTAGTATACAGATGGTGGTGTGACACAAAATGTCACTTTAATGATCGTGTCACGTCATTGGTCAATTAATAGCTCAAATGCTCAATTACTGGAGTGACAAAATGTGCTACTACAACTGTTTCCCCAAAAATGAGTTAAGATGTGGATGGCAGACAGTTTATTTGTTTTAGCATGCTGGGGAGAAGTGAGATACATATTTGGCGCGACTGAGAATCTTAATTTACAATAATTGTTCAGGTGCTGTATCTTCAAGGAAAAGAAACGGATGCTGAGGCCATTATTAAGGACTCTATAAGGATGCTAGAGGTGTGTGGGACATCTTTTTCTAAGTTAACCCCCATCCCCCCAAGTGGGAGTTGTCAATTTTGATTATGATTATTGTTGTTCTTCTTCTTAAGCTATTTTGTTTACAAATGTAGGAAGGTGGTGAAGGGGAGTCATTTGTCTGCATTAGAAGACTACGGTACCTCTCACAGGTTGCCTTTTAACCCTTCCCACCCTGAATCTTCTTTGATAAATAGTGATATTAGATAGATAGATAAATAAATAATGGATGGATGGATCATAATGTAAAAGAATGTAATTTTATCTGTCTATTAGAGGTAAGGATGAAAATTTACTTTAATATTTATCTCGAATCTCTATCTAGTATCAATTGCCAAAGAGGTTGAACCAATGGTGCACATAATGTTAATAGAAATTATGCTTTTTGAAGGAATTGAGATCTAGGGTGTTATGTCAGTTATTGGTAGAAAGTAGGAGCAATCATTTATTATCAAAATGTGCAATAATATCCGTCATTAGCATTTATGTATTATTAGAATATGTTCAATAGTAACTAACATGTTAACAGCTTAGGGCAGAAAGTTAGGAGCAGTTACATGTTAAATGCGTGTAGTGGTGTAAATAGAATGATACTGTTTGTCTTGTAATTTGGACAGAGAAGTGAAAACTAATCTCCGTGGGATCTGTGACTCTGGGACGGCAAATAATGCTGTATTGTAAGCATTTTATGTGATTTGATAATAATTTTCAATTAGTGTTCTCACTATCTAAGCGGAGAAAGGGGACCTAAAACCTAAGTCATAAAATCCAAGTAGATTTGAGAGGTCAGTCAATTGTACATAAAAGCACTCAGACACAACTAAAAATTAGATAAATAAAAACCATTCTTGGGTATCCACCTATCAACTTTTAACTTTGGGAATAGTTGGTTCTTGGATTGTATTGGATTCTTTTTTACCAATTGGTAAGGAGTTTGACATTCCTCACATTCTTCATAATTTAATTATGAATTCCAGCATAAGCCAGAATGATTTTGTGCATTATTACCCTTCAAAGTGGGTACGTTCCAACTTTCTGTTTATTGATTTCTCAATCTGACTTTCTTAATTATATCGACTTATTGCCATATATTCTTTTAGATATATTTGAAGTCACATCGAGTTGCTGAAGCCGAGATGGTCCAGAGAAAAATCCTGCATGTTATGGAATTGTCCAAGGTTCTTTTTGTGCACATCTTTCTCCTTTGCTTTTGAATTGGCTTTCTTTGTTATGGTGATGCATGCATGTTAATGGAAAGAAAAAGTGGTTAATGTAAAGAAACTACTGCTGAATGAAATTACCCTCATCAGTCAAAGTAGTATACGTAGCACTAATATCATATTGATATTATGTGATCTTCCTCGGCAGGCAATTTGTAATTTTTTTTATTCCATTTGCTACTTTTTGTTTGCCTTTAGAATTAGTTGCCTTGATCTTACTAAATGAAATTAGAAATGTTGTTGCAAGAATAGTTATGTTTGAAATCTGCTCATTGTCAAAAACACGATGCATTTGGTGCAATACAGGGGTGGAATTCCTTGGACACAGTTATTGCAGCTGAATCCTTGGCTCTGACCCTGCAAGCATCTGGCAATACAAAAGATTCAAAAGAACTTCTTGAAAGGTTATTACAATACTTAAAACTGAAAAATTAATTTTAATTTTTTACGTATGAAATCCTCACTTTTTTCCTTGTAGATGTCTTAATGTCCGAAAGGACTTACTTCCTGGTGACCATATTCAGGTATGTAGTTCCAATTCTATTTAGATTTCAAATCCCATAAATTTGATTGGAAAGCTAATGTTTTCTTGCACAGAGATTTTGTTCTTATTTGTATATGTGCTTGTGAGAATATGCTGTCTATTCGTTATTGACTAGAATTAAAAATAAAATCACGAGCTTTTCTTTCTTTATCCCATGGTCAGATTGGAGCAAACCTACTTCATCTAGCAAGAGTTGCAATGCTTGACTGCAGTCAACATAAAAAGTTCGATGTATCTAGAGCTAAAGCTGAGCTTGATATAGCAAAGGATCATTTACATAATTCCATAAGGTTCCTATTTATTCGACATGCCTATCTCTATCACAACTACTTTTGGATATAAAAAATCAATTTATCATATGTTTGTTTTTTTCTCCGGTGGTAATTTTTCTATTTTTGGTTTATTATATTAAGTTTTTGCTTGATTCTCTATCATGTCTCTTTTTGAATAGATGTTTGTCAGGAGAAAATAAATGAAAGATAATAGTTCATCTCTGGTAAATTAAGTTGTAACGCATGCAAGAGAATAACTTTTGATAGAAAATCTGAGAAATATCCCAGATGATCTCTTGGGATTTATTCTTTTATATTTTATGATTTGGTTTCTTATTTAATTAGGGTCTTTTTAGTTATAGGCATATATTGTATCATGTAAATAGGATTATTATCTCCTATATTTATTGCATGAAGTCTATATAAAACAGACACAGATGCGTAGTTAATACACATGCTTTCAACGTCTCTTGCATCTAATTCTCTCTTTCTCTCTTCAACAATTTTGTTGCACTAAATGCTCTTCTATCTATTTAAGTCCTACTTGATCCCCTCGGCCCCCCTTCTTATGCCCAAATCCAATAACTCATTTGTTATTTTAAAAATTGGAAATGGGGCGTAAGTTTCCCTTTTTTGTTCATTTTTGCATATTTGTGACAGGCCATTACTTGTTCATTCCCAGGATTGCACGTCAATGTTTAGAGAAGGTATTTAAACAAAAAGAAAAATTAAAGAAATACAGCAAGCTTGGAGATTCTAGAAAGGAAGGCCAAGCTGCGTTGGCCATATTGGTTAGTTTCTCCCCTTTGATTATTACTCTCCTCTTATGCATGTCTTTTAAAATGGCATTGTTATTTGTTCTCTTCTGTGAATAAAATTTATTTGTTGATTATAATAGAAATGTAATTTTTATAGTTGCAATCACTCAATACATTGTCATCAGTGGAGTTGGATAAGCAAGAATTGCAGGAAACTCAGGTTAGATTTAAGCCTTGATGGCAGTGCAAAATTCACGTTTCTTCTTGGTCTAAGTGTTAGTGTTCTTTATAAAAACAGGGAGGGGATATTAACGTTAAAGCTCAGGATGCACTTCTTCAATGCATTTCTGCTTACAAGGAGGTAAACGTTTTTACATGATAGTTTCTTGGGAGCTTTGCATACTCCAATTTTTCTAGTGAATTATTCATCATAGGTAATTAATGTAGTATTATTGAATACTACTTAATAGTAGAATGCTATTTCAAGTAAAAAAGTTTTAATTTTTTTCCTTCTGGGTAAAGCATTTATATTTAGCAATGCCTGCAATTATAGTTACAGTGAGTGTCAATTTATTGTGACTTGATTTATGTTGTCTCATAATCTTTTCTTAAATCAAATATGAAGCAATTATATTTGTGTTGTCCATTACCATGCTTTTTAGCAAGATCCAAAATAAACAAGTGGAGTCGTTAGATTATCCATGGTCCCTAATATTTTGTGACCATTGAAGTTGTTACTTTACAAATCTGTAGCTTTATGAATTTCTTGTAGCATGTAAGGAGACCAAATGTTGCATAACCGTACTTGCATTTCAGACCATTCCTAGCCACTAATTTAAAAGAATTGAATTATACATATAGTAGTGATTGTATTTGAATTGTAGAGATCACTTCATACAGATGATGCATTAGCAAATCGTTACATTAAGAAGGGCATGTACGTACATTTTCCATGCATTTCTTTCACATGGGGTTTTGAAAATTTATTGCAAATTCACTCTTCCTATGCAGTTTGTATATTATGAGAGGTCAATTGCTGATGCCCCTGAAATAAAGAACGAGTATCTTTCATGTTTAAGGCGCGCCCAAAATTTGCTTGGTCATAAACTTGATGAAGAGCTAAGCAATCAGAAGGATTTCCGAAAGCTGAATCTAACACCTTGATGGGTTTCTTTTTCCTTTTTTTTTTTTTGAGAAAAGGTGGGGGGTTTACTTAATAGGAAATTTATGTTGATAAAGAAAATAATATACAAGGGATTTTTTACTTGGAAGAAATAAATAAACCAATATTGATAACGAAGTCAATTGCCACTGGCTATGGCGTCAAAAATATTGTTAAACCATACTTCGTGTGGTTATTAATTACATTACCTTGATATTGTATTGTTCTATGCTTAGTATTATGCCCTGATGTCACTTCAATTGCCAATTTGCTACTAATTTCTCTTCATCTTATTCAAGTAATAATGTTTTCCATGCTGAGATATATCCGTTTGTTTAATCACATTTGATGATATAAAGTTAACTTTATAAAATAAATAAACAAACGGATGTTAAGACAGTGAAAAGGATGCAGCTAACAAATGTACAATTGCCTAAAAGAAAGATTATGATAAGACCATAAAGGATGTGCTGATCATGATCGTTTAATAAACCACCATACTGTAGTGGGGCATGTGAAAACGGCACAATTTGGAGTGGTTTCTGACTCTGAACCAGAAAGCCTCTCAAAAAACTTTGGAGAATAATCCTCTCGGTGTAGACAACTCAGAAAAATACATTGCCTATGCCAAACCAGTTTTTCACGGGAGCCAAACTACCACATATCTTGAAACTTCTAGTGGGTCCCCATACCCATTTTCATTACATAATGTTATTAAATTCTGACAAGACCATTGTGAACACCTCAAAAAAGTTACACACATGCCATTCATGACACGTGAAGATTTCAACCACAACATATTGCATTGCATGGTGGAACATAAATTTTCCAAACACATTCACATTCTTCAAAAATAAGTGGTCTCATGTCACCCAAGCTATTCTCTTTAAACTTTCTCCTTGAGAGAAAGAGGCCTCAAGAAACCACAGATGAATTGGCTATTGTGAAAGCAGCTGCACGGGCATGGTATCAACATGGTTCAGGCTCTGAAGGTAAGGCTAAGAGTGAGTATGATGTCACAAGAACTCAACGTGTAGCCAGGCCTTCACGTTACAAGTTAGAAGCTATGAGAATGGCCAAGGAAAAAGCACCTTCAATTCACACCAATAAACCTCTTCTTGACACATATGAAGTTCAATGCATTTCAAGGCAATTGAATAGGCTTATAGTATCTGGCCACAACAAACTTAGTAACAGCAACAACTCTACAAATAATAATGATGGTAATAGAAGGATGAAGAATGAGAAGAGGATCAGAAAAGGGTATTTTCCAAGACATGCTGTTGAATGCAGGGGAGGGGATGAAGAGGTTGGTGGCACTGCTTTGTCAGCCAAATGTGTACCAGTAGTTAATCTGGCAAAGTGTTTGCCAAGGGTCAATCATTCTTTGTGATCATGATCTGTTTTCATCACTTGTTTGGTGATTGCCATGTATTTAATATCTCAAATACATGTACTCCATCAACGTCACCAGAATAAATTTGTTAATGAACAGATAAGAAATTTGAGTTAAGCATATCTTTGTTGATAAATTTAGTTTTGCTAAAAGTTACACATATTTTTGTGGAACATTTTCTTTTTTCCTTTTTATAATCAAGTTATTAGTTTAAAATATTTATCAACTTTATTAATGATTAATTTTTATCAAAAAAATCTGATTAATCATTTTTAACGAGGTATTTCCTTTTAATTAAGTTTTAGTTTATTTAGTAGACTCAAATTCAAGATTTTACGGAATTGAGTCTAGTTACTCTTATATGAACAACTTGGTTAATTTTATGGAGCATTTAAGAAATGAAAGTGTTCATTTAAGGAGAAAATAAAAGCTTTAATTTCTAGGATGATGGATAATAATGAGGAGTTGGGGCAATTGAATGAGTTTTGGTGAATGGCAGCTTGTCAAAGGGCCTTTTTGGACCCAGTCATGTGATTTCTGGGACTGCTAACCTAACTTTCCATGTAGGGCATATAACTAAAAGATATTTGCTGATCTCTACCCCAATGTGCTGGAAGTTTGTGAATTCAATCTAGAGTCATAAATTTAAAAATATTCAACATTTATGATGAGATGCTAGTGCTTATACTAAAGGATGCTTTAGTATGGTTGTTACAGAGTTACGATAACTATCTGATGGTTTTTTAAATGGTTACGGTGACTCCCACCATTGATTCAAATGGAGTGTTCCTTAATAAACAAAGCATATTGTTGCAATTGCAATTTGCAAAGGACAGAAACCGAAGTTAGGGTCATTGGTTATCTTAAGATACTGAATGTATATGATTCAGTGGGGACAAGATCGAATGGTTCGCTAACTACCTTATATGATGACCAAGTTGATTTTTAAAGAAAAGTGTGCGATGCCAAAGTGGTTATAGTCTGATAGATATGCAGAAGCAAACAAGATGTTTCAATGTTGCTAATTTTTCCTCGCATAGGAATTCTCACATAATATATATATAATAATCTCATACATATTGATCTACAAGTTAAGTGAAATTCTTACACATTATATCCTAAATTATTATTTTTTCAATATTCAACAATAATAAGTTCTTATGGGGTGCACTTTTGATTTGTCAACAAGTTTTTTTGGATTAATCTATTTTTATGCTTATCTCGATTTCTAATAATCTATTTAATGAAAAAGTTGACTCACTGAGTTTTTTGGTTCAATATAAGAAAATGGGAAACACGCCTTTAATTCTCAGTAATTAAAAATGTAACAAGGATGTATGTAAGTGTCCTTTTTTGGGAATGTAAATGCTACCTGCTTGAATTCCCATGCTAGTGATAGGGGGTAATCGTTTGAGATTGGGGCCTTTGCCTTTGGGAGAGGAGAAGCACGCATGGACTGAAAATCATGAGTATATTTTGGCTATTAGAGACCGAAAATTTGGTCTTTAATAAGTTATTAGTAATGGAAAAATGGTTTCTAAATAAAATAAATAAAATATTTTTTTACCATTATCTATTTAAAATTTCTTTTAATTACACTTCAATTAGTGCTAAAAAAATAATATATAAATAAATAAATAAATATTAATGACTTTATTCAATCTAAATTGGTTTCAACAATTAAGGAGTCTATATTAATTGATTAAGTAAAATGTATGAGTTTTTATAAATTTTTTAGTATTAAGTTTGATTCTAATATATAATAAAAAAATTTCATTGTGATTAATTATTTTATAATTTTAAACCTCCACAGTCACTAATATTTTCATCATTTTTTATTTATTAAAATTATAAAAATGACAATTAAATTTGAAATTAATATTATGTGTATATTACTATAAGTTTTACCAATCGTAGTGATTGATATTTTCACCCTTTAAAATAGTCTTTAGTAGTTTTCGTTAACTGGCGTTATTCTTTTTGTTTGCTAGTAAAAGTTATGATTATAGATCCAAAGTAAGAACTAGCCAGTAATGCTAATTAACATTATTCTTTTTCATTTGCTAGTAATTTGTAATTATTAGGGAGCAAATGTTATTATGTTAAATTGTACTTTGTACATAAATTGAACTCAATTAAGTTTTAACCCGGTTATATTTATTATTGAACATGGAGATCAAATAGCATGAAATCATTCTAAACTTAACTGAATTAGTGGGATCTTGTCAAAAAAAAAAAAAAAAACTTAATTAGTGGGATCACTCGTGATGGTGTTATTCATTTCGAACAGTATTGTGTTTAATGAAAAATACATGTGGTATAAAAAAAAAATAGTTATATTTAATTTTAGTAAAACAAAACAAATGACAAGAAAAATCAGAAAAAGTGTATATACTATTGTGGGCCCAAACTTATACTGTTTATGGCCATGTTTCCAGGCTGATGGTGATTTGGGCTGGACAATGTTTTTTCATTCCTGTTTTAGAAGCGACCAATTCACGATCCAGAAGAATAACAACAACGAATTCAAGTTTTTTCTTTTGGTAATTGCATTACAACTTGAAATGACAAGAACCTATCAAGAGAGGGGGCGAAATGTTACTTAAAGAAAATAAGGGTATAATTTTTATTAAAATTCTTTTTTTTTTTTAAAAAAATCTTTCTTGAAATATTTAATAAAATTAGATACTAAAATTTAAACTCGGAATGAGTACTTAAATTAAAAGAATTTCATACTACGGTGAGGTATTAATAATGTATGGGATGTTGAGTAAAATGAAGGTCTTAAATTTGGATGAAAATGAGGTATACATAAGGCATAAAAAGCATGGAATATGTTTAAGTTGTAGTCCATGAGTTGTAATGTTAAAGTTTTCCTTGTCTGGGTCTAACCCAACCAATGAGCAAGTAAAGGGTAAAGCAAGGAAGCATGACATAATACAAAAGGAAATGATGAAAAATCTGAAACCAAAGCTGGCTTGCAGTAACACACAAGTGTCAAAAGCAGTGATGAAACTCCAGGCCTTGGGTTGGTTTGGTTGGGACCATTCACCATTCACCATTCACCATTCCCATCCCCATATAACCTAATTCACCCTTTCAACTTTTTCAAGGAAAACGCCACTCTTTCTTCTTTCTTTTCACCTCAAAATGGCGTCCTACCAATTCCAACTTAGCCATAGCTGTAAATTATTTTTTTTAGTAGAATTTTGGATCAGATAACAACGTAACTTTGCATTGGGATTGCACTTTCTCGTGACTGGGTGAAGTCTGCTCCACCATTTTTTGCCCACCTGCCTCTAATCAATAAGAGTTGTCACTAATATTACATCCAAAATTAATTAGGAAAAAAAAGTAGATATATCTGTTGAGGTTATATTATAGTATTTGTTTGAGAGGATATTTTATAAAGGTTATTTTTAATAAGGTTATTATATAAACATATTTCATAATAATGAGATATTATCCGCTTTAAGCTTAAACTCTCACGATTTTATTTTTATCATTATCTAACAATATCATATATCATCATTGAAGAGACATACACAGAAAAGTAGATATGTTCTATTAAGTATATTCACGCAATGACTTAAAATGAATTTATCTATGGATTTAACTATATCAACTCTAACTCGACCGAATCAAAATCAGACATTATTTTAAATAAGATAAGATGGGGTATGCTAATTTAAAAATCATATATATTAAATTTTAGAATTAAATAAATATATATAATTAAGATATATTTTATAATATATAATATCAACATAAATATATTATGTCACGTTAGTCAAAATAATTTTTATAAAGAAATTATATTATTAATACCTAATTATTTTAAAATTTATATATAACTTTTTTTTAAAAGAATATATAACAGTAGATTGAATTAGGACAAGTTAAAGTAAAATCTAAACATCCGTTAAAAATGTACAAAGTCTAATTTCTTAAACTTAAATCTGTCGAAAGTCCATTCGATTAAGATTGAATTGGTGAAACATGACGAGTCATGAAAACCTTATAGTCTATTACATTAATGTGTGTGATATGACACAATAATACAATTATTTGAAAATAAGAGAAAATTTGTTTAAAAAATTTAAATATGATATTTGCATAATTGAACATTCACTCGTATCATAATAATATGTCATTAACATATAAACAAAAACAAAAGTTGGATTTTTAATGGAATAATAGACACTTGTATATAATTAGTATTTAATTTCCTCAATTAAATCTTAAATGATTGAAATCAAATAAATACATTTATTTTTTTTTATAAATAAAACTGCCATTATTTTGATTGTGACCTAACTTGCATTACATTTACATACATCCTCCCATGGCTTGGCAGAGACCTTTCCCTTTTTCAGTCGAGTTGTTTCCTCTCTGCACGTGGTTAAATATTCGGTGATAATTGCGAATTTATGAACATTCACCAAAAATAAAGTCCAATTGCAACCCTTATATTTTTAATAATTATTGTTCAGTTGAGTAAAAGAAAAATGTTATAGTTCAGAAAAAAATAATATATTAAATTCTATATTATTTTATATAGAGTAAATTACACTCTCTTTCCTTCAAAGATAAGATACAAATATTACATTTCAAAGATAAGATACAAATATTACACTACCCTTTCATCTTAAATTAAAAACTACAAGTTTAGGGTTTAGGGATTGTAAAAAAAAATATCACCAAAACACCCTTTACATTAACATCCTCTTATAAATGTGAATATTACATCACTCTCCTTTCCTATAAATATTTTCCCTCTTAAAAAATTTAAACATGTTATACTTTAATAATATATCTCTTAATTTATATATTTAATTATTATTTTAAAAATTATTATAAGTTTTATTAAAATTAACTATATAAGTGTTAAGATATTATTTAATACATACACTTAATGTAATATTTTAATAAAAATTTAAATAAAATAATATTATCATTATATAGTATTAGTTATATATATATTAAATTAATATATTATTAATTGGTTTTACTAATAAAATATTTAAATA